CTTGTGAACCTCTAAGGAGCCCAATAGACTTTAATTGCAATTTGACTCCACTGCGCCCCCTATGTTAATAAAACAGCTGTATCTCCTCTCTACATGGCCCAATCTGCTCCAGATTTTGGGTGCATGGCCAGGGAACGCTGCCGAAGGCATCAAAGCGGATCGCGTGGAGGACGGCGCGCGAGCGTCGGCGGTGGCCGGCGGGAGGCGGTGCTGGAACATCCGCGGTGGCTATAGGCTTGAGCGGCGCTTGGCTGCGAGGGCCGCTTGAGGCTCCGCGGAGCTTTAATTCTATTTATTCTGGCAAAAAGTTAATAAAAACCCAAAATTTCTCAGAATATTTTCATCAGATCAATAGGAAATAATATGTTTGTACTTTTATTTTGAAGTATCCAGACAGGAAATAGTCAAAAACATGCTGTGGAAGTCATGCAGCCAAGGTCCTTGTTAGGAAATCAAACTTTGATTAACAATAATAAAAAAACAACTAATGTTTATAAATACAGATATAACAACAAATGAAGGTTTTAAGAGTTTCTAATTGTTTTATGTAATAATTTTAATGAATTTTCACTGCAGAGTGATACTAAAATTAACAGCATATTCTTTTTTATATCAACTTTTCTTCATTAAGTTGTAAAATGTGCTTTTTTAAACAAAACAGTCTATAAACATTAACATTCCATAAAGGAAAATTTTAATATTTTATGCTTTGGCTTTATTTTAAAACTTAAAATTCAACTTTCCCTTCCGTTACCTTTTGTGGCTAATTCTCCTTGTGGCTGATGTAAACAACTGTGTGCTGAGCAAAAACACTGCAAAAACACAAAATAAGTCCTTTATATTGATAAAAGTATTATTTCCACTGGCACATTATTTCTCTTACATTTTTCCCATGTTATAAGTAAAATAATCTGCCAGTACAAACGGAACTTTTTCATTAATATAAAGGAATTGTTGACTTAAAACAAGGTCTTTTATTCTGAAGTTACTTATAAGTTAGTTTTGTCTTATTTCAAGTGTACCGAGATATTTACTGGGCAGTAAAATAAAAATACTTTGCAATATTTTGTGTTTTTGCAGTTTGCCAAGTCAGCAGTGTTTCTGCATTGAAGCCTCTTTTAAAATTGATCTGATGTAATTTTCATATATTGTGGGTTTTCCATTAGCTGTTAGCTACATTTATCATATTAATGAACAAAATTAAACCCTTAAAATGCACCACCCTCTGTATAACAAATCTATTTTCACCAAAACTCTGCAGTTTTTATGGAAAAAATGAAATAATTTGTCCCTTAGAGAGGAAAATAAGTTTTCCTATTGTTTTATAATATTAATTAAAAAGTTTTGCTACTCCAAACTACATAACCATTTGTCTTAAAAAGTAAATTTGCACTTTAGAGAATCCTCGTTACCGCTGAAACTAGAATATTTCATTTCTCTGCTAGTAATTTATGGTGTAGAAACACCATAAATTGAACGTTAGAGGGACACAGGAGGAACGTTACCTCAGCACTCTTGCGGCTCTGTAAGATTTGTTTATCAGAGTCCTTACTGGCGAAGTATCTGGTGCATCCTCGGTTCAGGTACTGCAAAAACAATCCAGACAAAAACTGTTTAATAATGTCAAGATTCGGAAATATTAAACTCATCCTTGGTGAGAAATCCTGATTTATTGCAACATTATTCTGAATAATTAGAAGAAAGTGGCATGACGCAGCAGCTTCTGCTGATGTGGAAGAGGCCTTTGGGACTCGATGCTGGTAAACATTTACAGGAACAGCCTGAGGCGGGTTTTGTTCTGGTTTCAGATCAAAAAAAAACAAAAACAACTTTTTATAGTTTAGTTAACTGAACTTAAAATAATCAGTCATTAAATTAGCATGTCAGTCGACGAAATATTGGTTGGCTCCAAAATGTGTCTGCCATTTCTGGATAAGTTGTGTGGTTTTCACAGAAAACAATCTGAAACGTGCGGTGTGCATTTTTATTCCGATTCCCTTAAATGTTCTTATTGGGGCCTGGAGGGGTATATATAATACAACATTTCAGTTACATAATATGAATAAAGCTATATCAGCCGATTGCTGAATATTATAATAAAAAGTAAATTGTATTGATGTTTTTAAAAATCTTATATCAGTTTTATATAGAAATGTATATTTAAATATGCAATTCCCAAATAAATTGCATATTTAAAATCTATTTCCCAAAGTAGATTGGTCAAAAACAAAAATCTTTTAAAAACTTTTGGTGCATAAAGCTGGTAGAGACGGATCCCAAAATGAAATCTGCTCATTAAAATCTGTGGTTTTAAAAAGACCAAACATGACAAACTTGAAGGACATGAACACTTCTGTGAGGAGCTTGTTGTTGCACACTGACCCTGAAGTTATCGGGTGAGTCGAGGTGTAACGTCTTCTTCAGGTCGTCAGACGCCCCGGCACACAGCCGGTAGAAGATGTGGTAGTTCCTCTCCTCATTGCTTTGCATACAGATCCTGGATTTCTCCAACAAGTAATGGGAGACGAATCCACCCACAACGGCGTTCTGGTGACGCACAGCAGGTGTGTCAATGAATAATTATTTAGACACTGCAAAAACACTAAATCTCACCAGTTTCTACCGCGAACATCGCAGTACACTTGAAATAAGACAAAAATAACTTCTGAGGAGCTTGTTTTAAGTAAATAATTCGTTATATTAATGAAAAAGTTCTACTTATAAGTGGACATTTTTAACTTACAATATGGAATAAATGTCTTGTTTCACTGGCATTATTTAATCAAAATTAAAGATTTATTGTCTTAAAACAATACAAGTTCCTTGTAAGTTAGTTTTGTGCTATTAAATGTGCTAAGATATTTACACTAGAAATTTAACCAAAATTACTTTATGTCTGCTTTAAGTGTAAACAAGCCTGAAAAAGTCATCACCACTTACTTTGTCATTGAAGTGAATTTCTACAAACTTCCCAAACCGACTGCTGTTGTTGTTACGGACGGTTTTCGCGTTTCCGAATGCCTCCAGAAGGGGATTTGCTGGAGCATAAAGTATAAAAATCACAGTGAGAATTACCCCAAAAGCACACATAATCCAGCAGTAACGTGGTCATGGATTACCTTCCACAATTCTTTCATCAATATCTTGACCACTGCCATATGTTGTTGTCAGGTACCTGCAGGATGAAGCAGAAAAATAAACACAGATGGTGGTTTTACCTTGCAAAGCAGCAGTGCATGCTGGGTATTCAGCTGCACAGTCAACAATGAAGTTAGACACGGTGATGTTGTTTATTGTTTATTAAATATTGAAGCAGTAGTTTTATGTTTTAATGTTGGATTTGTTTTCCCGTCCTCAGGAACATTTTTATTACTAAAAAGCTGCAGATCAGATTTTCTAATTGTGTCATTCATGTATGTAAATTTGTCTCTGCTTGGTTTGCGGGTCACAGCCTGAGGAAGAACTCAGGTGATAAGACTCTAGATTTAAAATCTAGATTTTGTTGAGAGAAAACATCTGTTTAAAAGTTTTTTTTAATCTTTAAAATGTCTAAATTATTAACTTCATGAGAATAAAAAGCTTCATAATTGAATTACAAGTCAAGAATAGTTTTTATATTAATAACAAGACCTTATTATTAAGTATTTCACTGGATGCGATTTAATGAATCACTAGAACTAATTTATTTATTCAAATTAAAAAATCTGAAATGTGTGGCATGGATTTTCCATTGTAGTATTATTTTCTTAAATTCCACTTTTTCCATTTTTATTTTCCTGAATATCTTTTTAGTCATATTTATTAATACAAAAAATTAACCAAATATGATGGGAATGAGGTCGACCTTAAAGGAAATGAAATTGTAACAGATTGCTTGAACATTAACTGGTTTTAAAGGTGTTAAGAAGTGTTTCCAATTAGTTTTTCTAAAAATGAACTGAAACATTGTGAGCTAAACTAGGATTTATAAAAACTGATTATAGTTTAACTGAACACCAAAATATTTGTCAGATAAAAAATTTGCAAAAAGTAAAAGTGTGTTTTATCTACTTAGGAGACTGGTAGCAAATGGATGCAATGGATTTTACTTAAGAGTATTAAACACAAACACAGTTTAATCTTCAGATTTGTATTTGTTCAAATGTTTGACAACTAAGTATTTTTCAAAGCACAACTTTCTTTTTGGTCTGCAGCACAAAATAGAAATAAAATGCATTAAAGCATTTTTACACTCAGGGTAAAAATGTTCTGAAGGTCATGAATGGTTTTATGAAGAAGTGGAAAACTGCTTTAACAATAACCTGAAATAAATCAGAGCACAAGAGGAAAGAAAGAAGGAGGGAATACCTGAGGACAAACTTTGTGTTTTCAGTCTTTCCAGCTCCAGATTCACCAGAAACGATGATGGATTGACTCATCTTTAAAACCTTCATGTCCCTGTAGGCTTTATCCGCTACAACAAACAAAATGGAGCACTGATTATGTCATTTCCTATTGTCCGTGCACATTTATTAAATAAAATAATGCATTATCTCACTTATTAAACTGTAGTGTAGAACATAACAGAACAAGTTTATAGAAATCAAACATCGCGGTGTGAAGACTTTCAAAACTCATCAGTCCTCCTTCCTGCCTGCTTCTGCTACCTGGACATTCAGTGTCATCCTCGTTGAGCAGGAAGTTCAAAGTTTGCATGGCGTTTTTGCAAACATTAACCTGCACGGCGTCAGTCTGACAGGTGAGTTCTCACCTATAGCGAAGACGTGGGGTGGCAGAGTTCCCAGCGACTTTCCTTGGTACGACTTGATGGCGTCAGGCCCGTACAGTTTCGGTACGTCATAGTAAGGATTAACGGCTATCAGGATATTCGCCACATACGTCTGCAGGAGAAGCACATGCACAGTTAGAGCCACTGCAGATGCATAATTTAGATTCTTCAACAAAAAACATTAACAGAGGTGAAAGAGAGAGCACTGAAAACGAGCAAGACACACCTTCTACTGGTTTTCATGTCTTGAATTTTTCATCTACCAGCTGTTTCTAATTTCCTAAGTGAGTCAGTGAGGTAAAGGCCGGGTTTCCCGGTCTGATCCGGGTCTGACCTCCCCCCGGTACCACCTGGAAGTTCTTCCCAAGGGAGTCAAGGACGGAGATCCTATCTCTCTGCTCTGCAACCTGCTACTTAATCCAAGTCAATACTAACATTTCTGTACCATAATAACAACCTAAGTGCATGTAAGGAGAAATTAGCTGGTATGATTTTCATCATGATCTCCTCTGAGTGCCAATAATCCGACCTTTTTCTGATCAGGGAACACTCTTCAGTGTGGACTCTTCCACTTAGCAGAAAGTAGCACTTATCACTATCAGTCAGAGGAGTGGAGAGATAAAAACCTATTAAACCTATTTAATACCACATGTTTGTGATTCATTCAGGCTGGGAGAAAGCAAGAGAGAGCAAGATTTCAACAGATAACAGAAAGGCTAAACCAAGCTGCCTATTTTTAATGATTTTAGCTTATTTAGTTTCTATTAGAGGTGAAACTTTGCTTCTCATATAAATACTTGAAGTTGGTAACAGAAGGAAGGTGATGAATATTCTGAATTCTGCTCTTATATCGTCTTATATTGCAGTTATTACAGAAAAATCAGCACCAGCAGATCAAAACTTTGGAAAATATTCTGATCTATTAATTGTTGTAGTAAAATATAATATTTTCAAGGCTGTAAATTATAGACAGAAGTAAAAACATACATAGATGTGGTCCTTAGTGTACCGAACTCTGACATTGTTGAGAAGCGTGGCTTCATTTAGATACATGAGGGAACCTGAACGGAGAGAAAGGAAAGAACAACTGAAGTCAAATTATAAAAGAAGAAAGTGAAACTTTTAAAAACTGGAAACGTACAGTTGTCATCGACGTGCTTGTTGACATCATCCTCTGCTGGGAAGACTTGGTTCATAGGAGCCAGAAACGTCTGAAACATGAGCCACATCAGTGATGGTAACATTTACACCACGACATTTACAAGAACAGAAACACGAGGCGTGTTTGGTTCAGTTATGCAAACATTATTTACCCTTTATTAGCTGCTACACTGCAAAGACACAACATATTACGAAGTATTTATGCTGCAGTTTCTAGTGCAAATATGTCAAATAAGTCAAAACTAATTTATAAGTAACTTTTCAGCAAGTTAGACGAGTTTAAGTCAGTAATTTTTTAATACTCTTTAAAAAAGTACTAGTTCCACTGGAAGATTATTTAATATAAAATAAGACATTTTTCCCATCTTATTAGAAATAGGAAATAGTAGGAAACATTTTTAATGGGGCATAAAAGCCAGATGTGTGTGTTAAGCACAGAGAAGATCAAATCAACCCGACATAAACATGAAGGATTGATCACGCTTAAAGACGGCAGTAATGATGCTCAACGCTGCGTGGATGTGTTAGTTACTGCTGCTCTGGCTGCTTGTCTCTGAGTCAATGGAAACAAACTCAATGGAACGAGTCGGCTGCGAGAGAAACAAGGGGAGACATGGCAGCGTGATTAATAATTTGGAGGGAGAGCAACAGGATCTGAACACCTGACTGAGTGAGGAGCCGACGATGATGATCTGGGCCGGCCCAAGGCGTGTGCAAATGAAGCGGCTGCTTAGGGGCTCTACACCACCAGAGCGAAAAGCTAGCATGATAAAAAATATATCTTTGTTTTTGAATAATACAAAATAAATGCTATTACACATGAAAACAGCTACATTATTATTAGAGTTGGTACATACATAAGAGGTTTCTCTTCTAAATTCAGTGTTTAAATAGTTAAGATAATATGGCACACTTTTATTGGCAGGTTATTATGATTTTAATAATAATCATAATAATCTGCAAGTGGAAGCAGAACTTTTTCATCAATATTAATGAATTATTTTCTTCAAACAAGCTTCTATTTTGTGCTGAAAGTAACTTATAAGTTATTATAGTGACTTATTTCACGATAACCAACCAAACGTTATTGCAATAAACGATAATATTGTTATTTTGAGACCGTTTTATCAAGTGATATAATGTTAATAGCACATTCTCAACAATCAATAAACTTTAAGTTCTAATGAACAGTTAATGCTAGAACTTGAAGACATTTTACTTAAGCAAAATAAATAAACAAAACAACATAAATAACAAATAAAATAAATTTTGAAGTAAACAAAATTGTCCTTAAAAAAATGGCCTGTTGAGACCAAAGAACCAGACAGAAAACTTTTGTCATCCAGTTTTTGGTAGAAAGAGAGAAAAAAAGAAACATTATAAATCATGAAAGGGGAAATTATCTAGTTTATTTTAATTTATTGTGCGATTAATTAATTTATTGCTTATTGTGACAATTATTCAGGGTATCTGGGGTATCCAGGGTATATTACTGTGTTTTTGAAGCGTATCTTACACACACAGAGTGACCTAGGAATGACGAGGCATCTGGTGTTGATTTTAAAATGGGGGCCCGCATCACAATTTGCTCAGGGAACTAAAATCGCTTTGTTCAGCCCTGATGAGGATGACGGTGAACTCATAGGAACCAATAAAGCTGCACTATTATTAATGGTGACAAATCAATCAAGACAAACATAAGTTTTACTCCTATACTGTATTTAGGTTTCATAAACTCCATTATATTTAATGGCTGGCCTCCACATCTCTATATTAATGCTTGGCAGTGTAAACCTGGCCGGCTGCACAATGCTGCATGGTTTATTGCCACAGGGAGCTGGTGATCGTAAACAAGGGGAGCTTTGTGAGCCTCCTGGAGGATGTTGGCACAAACACAGACATGGTCATCCACGATAACGACTGTGTGAATAACGGCTAACCAATAAAACCCGACGCAGAAACACAGCCGCTAATGAGCCAGCTGACATGTTTCAGGGGATCAGGCTCTAAAACAAAGATGTTTTCAACTTCAAAGGGATTTTTTTCATCACACAAACAAATATTAATGATCCTGAAAACATTCCAGCTCAGAAATCAGGAACTGATTTCCGCATGCAGATGGTTTGCAAATGTATAATTTTCATAGGAGCAGGAAAAGTTCAGAGGAAGCAGTAAAGTCGAGGTGAAAAATGCAGAGCTGCATCCTTGGAAGTAATTAAACAAATTATCTGCAGCAAAATATGTAAATACAGCTGTGAGAAAGGGATGGTGCCGTTGTACGTTTCCACTTCCTGATCGTTGCCAGTTTTACGTAGCTTAATAAAATAAAAATATAAGTACTTTTAATTTTCAGTCATTTGGAAATGTATGACAATTAAAACACAGGAGTTTCCACTGGGTAGAATTTATTTATTATTTAATATTTAAAATAACTAAATTAACATTTGGTAGAAAATAGAAATAAACTGTTTTTGAGGATATTCCAAGTTATTGAGATATATCTGCATTTGTTGCATTGAAATCAACAAAATGCAGCCATTTCAACGGTTATGCAAACATAATCCATTTTCTTTTTTTTTTATGCATTTATTTATGGCTGTCGTACTTTTTGGATGTGCTGTTTTTATTGTTGTACTGCAATTTTTAGCCCCTGCTTCCTAGACAAATTTCTCTTACGGGAGACGAATAAATGATCTTATCTTATCTTCTGTGTTGTATGATAGCTGAACTGATTTAGCATAAAATTGTCTTGTGTGTTTGTAGAAAAGCTGCAACATAAAACACTCTTATTTTAGGAATAGACACTGAATTTGTTGTTTTTCTGTATAAATTACACCTTACAGTTTAAGAAAAAGCTCCTATCAAAACATTAAGACAGAATTTCAAAAGATTTATGAAATTATTTAAAGAATAAGAGGCATCTAGTAGCTGCTGTTGTGGACTGGCGGTGACTCAGGTGCAACAGGTGGCCTTCACCTCCTAATGAGCGGCTCTCTCTCTCTCTTTCTCTCTCTCTCACTAGGCAACGCTATCAGCACACCTGCTGCTGCTCTTTACTTATTTATGTTTCTGTACATGTGGTCTCTCGTGTTTCTTCCATTATGCACGTTGTTGTGCTGACGCCTTCCAGCCTGAAATCACACTGGAGAGTGTCTGAAGGAAAGTTACAGAAATATTTATTCACAGAATTTATTTTTGGCGGAAAGATTTGGGCTAGAGCGAACGTATGCTGCGTTCGCTTCCACCTTAGAAATGTAGAGCGTGTGCTCCTTCACCCTCACGTCACTTCCTTCGGGGGACTACTAAGGATTTCATATTTATTTGTTCATTACTTTGTAGTAAAACACTCATAATTTTGATGTAATTACTATTATTTTTCTTTGTTAGCTATACTTCAAAAAGTTATTTTTTACTGTTTTACTGTGTTTCTATAAAGGTTTTCCAGTTGGAGTCAAAGTAATAGCATTCAGTTCATAATTATTACATATTTCATACTGTGCACAATGGTACATTTTGCATATAAATGGAGTAAATGTCATGACCAATGGTTATATTATATGTGCTAAGTGTCATTCAATGGTAATCAGTGATTTAGTTTAAAGAAATCCCCAGTATTAATGTGAAAAACACATTTGGCAAAGTTTGGAGACATTTTTGGATAAACGCCTCATTGAAAACCTTGTATTAACAGCGGAGTGGCAACACTTTTGATACCAAAGCACAAAAATCAAATCGATGCACATCATCTTTCTCGCTGGATGCTCAGAGTGGAACTTGCTTGTGTGCTGAGAGTCGCAGTTTGTGTGCAGCAGTGCGATGACCCACCTTGCCCTTCTGGTTCAGCGGTTCTATGGTGAGCGCGTCGGCTCCTATATCAACGATCATGCCCAGCTGGAACCCATCGGTGGGGTGGGGCGCCCACACTGGCTTCCCATCCTCCATAGCTTACCTCCGCTCAGCCGAACCGCACCGCTGCAGAGAGAGCGACAGGAACAGGAAGGTGGGTAACAAATAAAAGAAAAACCTGGTTTTGCAGAAATATGCAAAGTTTTTAGCCCCTGATTTGCATTTTTTACATCCGATCATAAAACCAAACCTGATTCGCCGCTTCTAAAATTAACTAACTTCCAAATGCATCTT